CAACCTTGTGGTCTATGAGTGAGTGGCTGCAGTACAGGCATTTGAGGAACTTTTACTTCCTCAAATGCATCTGAGGAAGTGGACTTAAGTCTATGAGAGCTCATGCTGCCAACTTCTTTCTTTCAGTTAGTCTCAAAGGTGCTACAAGATCTCTATACATTTAATGATAGTTTATATCACGGGTGGTGAGATGTCAACTGTCCAGTGAGATGGGCAGTTGGGGAGAAGTGGGGAGAAGTGTGAACTTTCGAAATGGTCCTGGAGGAGGTTTTAAAAGAAGCAACAAGACTTTGGGTCTGTCTGACTGTCTGTGGTAGACCATGAGGGGCTTCTGACCAGCAGCTCTGGGAATTAGGAGGTTGGTAGAGCTGGATAATGATCCAGGCTCCCAGCTATCCAGAAACATCAAGGACTACAAATCCTATCTGATGTATGTTAAGATTAGGAAAATGTACCAGTCAGTGGCGTCGGGTTTTGGATTTTTTCCTGGTTTGGCTGAATTAACTTGCTTCTGTAACTTATACTCTGTCTGTGCCTGGAGGGCAAGTTGGTCCTTCATGTAAGTTATATCCTTTTGCTATAAAATTCCCTTACATAGAATAAAGCTTTTCTTTAAGATACCATGTTCTCTTGCACTCCTTTTTCATGTACCTTGGCTTGGCCCAGTTCTTCTCTAGGTGGGCAAGTGAAATACCAGTAGAATTCCCCAGCAATGTCCTGATGGGTTGCTAAGGTGTGACAAGTTATTCATTGGGTGGTGGCAGCAAATTCTTTAGATAAAAGGTGGTCTCAAGGGATCCCATCACATCCAGTTCAGCAGGAGAGGAGGGGGACCCACAGAGAACCCTCACATGGTGGCAGCAGTTTTTGAACCTTGGAGTGTGTCGGTGTGTTTGAGTACAGACTGAGATACCGGTAAGTGTCTGGTTCCCTTGTTCTGCTTTTGTTCTGAGTCAGGATGTGAAGAGTTGTGGTATCTCCCATGCTACTAGGCATCCAATCTCTCTCCTATCAGGGACTCCCTGTTGTGGGCTCTCATTATTCTTCTCTGAGTCCTTCATTTGGTCCATATGGAGATGGCCCACTACAATTGCTAATAGGCCAGCCATGCCTTTACTCTGCTTACTTCGTCCACTCTCTAGTCCTCTTGTTCACACGCACTGCCAGTTCCTGTCTGTCATACAGAATCATAGAGTTGGAAGAGACCCTAAGAGCCACCCAGTCCAAGCCCATTCTGCCATGCAGGAAGACACCATCAAAGCACTCCCAACAGATGGCCATCCAGCCTCTGTTTAAAAACCTCCAAAGAGGGAGACTCCACCACACTTCCGAGGCAACATGTTCCACTATTGAACACCTCTTACCATCAAGAAGTTCTTCCTAATGTTTTGATGGAGTCTCTTTTCTTGTAGGTTGAATCCAGTGCACCATGTCCTAGGGCAGGGGTAGGCAACCTTTCCCCTTTAAGGGCCGAGGGACTTCAGCTCCCAGAATCCGAGGAGCTATTGGCCAACATGGCTGAGGCTTCTGGGAGCTGAAGTCCCTCGGCCCTTAAAGGGGAAAGGTTGCCTATCCCTGTCCTAGGGCTTTTCTACATGGGTTATTTGTTATGAACTCTCTCCTGCATCCTGTTTACATAAGACTGGACTAAACCCCTGAATTGGGCGTGGACTATCTTCATGATGTCTGTACCTGATTTGGCCTTTCTCCCCCTTAACCCAAATTTTAAAACCTTATCTTTTACTCCAGATTTTTTTCTCGCTCTGTAGCGACAATGGATCCCTGTTTGCTGCCTGGAGCTGCTGCTGTAGGTACAAGTAGGTCTGAGGTCAGAACAAGGCAACCAGCATCGATAACATGGCTGGGCACCTCATTGTATCCTCAGTGGCAATGCCAGGTGATGAATGGGGATCGTGCTGGAAGGTAGCCACTGCCGTTGCTGCAGAGAGAGCACAGGTAACGGTGGAAATTCGGGGACCATATATTGCAGGGACAGCCTGGAGTATTCTGGCCAGTGAAGACAAGCCCATAGTCTCTGAAGCAGCAGAAAACAAGCTTCCTCCATCTTTTTTTTTTTTTTAATAATCTTTATTAATTTCCATCAATTATTAAAAACAAACGAATAAACACCAAATACATAACAAACTATCCCAATATCCCAACAAAGACATTGGCAAAAAACATATTTACAAACTAACAAATTAAAACGACTTCCAAGTGTC